GATGGTTTTAGATGAAATTTCTACCTATGAAAAGAAATTGATGTATAATTAATTCTTCATGAACATTTAAAACTGTTCTGAAAAATACTTTTGATGATTGCATGTATAGGTCACAGATTTTTTTTCTCTGCTAACATAAACAAAAGCCAATTTTACAAAGAAAAATTCTCGTTAAAGATATACCTCCTTTGCCTGATAGTCCAATGTAATATTTGTTAAAGTTAAGTGATGAAACGCAACCAATTTATCTCAGATTTCCTTTTTTATATTATAATAACAAAATTATCGAAAAAACATTTAAATCTCTGTTATTGTCATGTAAAGCTTTATTATTGCTGCAAGTTCATCTCAAAATCTAATTGTATTGAATCTCATTCTAATCATCTAATGGTAATAAATATTATTATTATTATTATTTCATTAAATTAGTCATTACCATTATTTTGTTAATGAAAATATGTTATTAAAAATCGCATTCCAGCCTGCAGACTTACAAAGCCAGTTCGTATTTATTATATTTTGTAAAATTTTGTTCTTGTTTTCTAAGACAAAAATATGAAATATAAATGAAGAGTGAAAACAAAGTTAAAAAATTCACAAATTATTTATGAGATTGATCAGAAATAGTGAGTGAAACATTGCATACATTTTGTTCTAAATAAATACAGTCAAAAGTCGTTAATCCGGACTCGTCGGGACTTCAGCGATTCCGGATTTGGGATTTTTCCGGATATTGATCATCAGTTTAAATCTCGTAAGATGGCATGCAGAAATTCTAAAATTAAAAATATGAAACCATAATTTATGAAATAAATGAACATATTTATGATCTAAAGGGTATCAAAATTTACAAAAAAAAAAAAAAAAAAAAAAAAAAAAAGCTTAATATTTATTTGTTTACTTTATTAAACATTTCTCTCAATGTAAGCTGTTTAAGTTGCTTCATTTTATGTCATAATACTTTCTCTTTAATTCTATAAAAAGACATAATTTTTTGTTCAGTTACAAAGTTCCGCTGTTCAAGTCTCGTTAATTGCTGTGCCGAGAATACCGACTAACTTGTCAATCGAAATTTTTTCGTTTTCACTATCCTCTCTGTCACATTCTTCATGTCTTTATCCATTTTTTTGCAGTAATTCCACTTTTTGTTTGTTGGACATTGAAACCTACTTTCGTTTTGTAGATCCTTTGGAAGTTCCAGCATCGGAAATTCTATTTGACATAGTCGAAAGTTCAAGTTTACTTTTATAAAATTGCTCTTACAGTCTGCAAAAAATAATAAGCGGGATCCAATTCGAAGATTAAGGAACAACGCAATCATTAACATTAACTGAAATAGATAATTAGATAATTTTAGCTTACACCGTCCGTTATACATTAAACGCGCAGGCGAAAACGTATTCTGCACTTGCGCACACGCATATCCGCAGCAGTCAAGGTTTTACGCGCACACGTAAAATGCCTGTGCGCATGTGCCAACGCGGCGCATGCGCAGAAAGTTTTTAGCTTTGAGGTCCGGATTATAGATCATTCCGGATTATGGGTGTCCGAATTAACAACTTTTGACTGTAGTGCACTGGATATGCATCCAGTACTGCATATTTATTTATGCACTATTTATTTAGAACTTCATTTAAATGAAAGCAAAATAATCATCGAAAAAAACCCAAATCTAGCAACCCATCTACTATGGGAGTTTCGGATCGTGCCGATCTGAAGGCTATATTATGAGAATTTCGGTCCGGTTTTAGAAGGTTAATCATAATAGATCTACATAATCACAATTACAATTTTTCCCCCCTTAATTTTTAAAAAATATCCGTTAAATTTATCTGAAAGGTTTCAGATTTTAAATTACATCTAAAGGGGTGTTTTTTTTAACATTTTGTGTGTTATCTTTATTTATTAAATATCATGTTCTTCGCACTTAAACCATAAAATTCGGTTAAACAGCAATATCGCAAAAGAATTTTAAAATGAGTATATCTTTAGAATTTCCAATACACAGTCTCACGTGTTGAGGATAAAAAGTCCCCCTCCCTGTATGGTGTTGCTATTGCTTGCTTTGAAATCATTGAGTCTGTAATCAAAAATTCGTTAAAGTTTTACAAAATGCAAAACAGATAATAAAACAAATTCCAAATTTGGGTTTCCAGATTCCCATATTCGGCGGTGGAAATGTACGTTATTCAAAATTTGATGGCTCTAGGTACAGTTGTTTTATTATAATGCCAGAAACATACATACGTTTATGCAGATTCTTCATTACTTAATTTCTGCAAATATAATACAGGGCTCTAATATTTGGTGGCAACAATTTGAAAAGTGAACCAACATTTATAGTGAATCAATGCAAAATGCCAAAACAAAATTAATAGTCCTTCTGGGCTAACTGCCCATTTGGACTAAAAAGAACTAAGAACATTTTATAGCAGTTATAATTTATGATATTCATTGTAAAATGATATTAGAATAATTATACATTAAAAGCTGCAAAACATTTATGTTTTGTAGCAACAACAAACAGCAAAATGTTTGTCTTTATAATTTGAAACTTTTCTAGATATTTTAGCTAATTTACAACAATTTTCTTCTCTTTAGCATCTTTTCTAAGTTTATTGTTTCAGTAAACTAATCAAGGTTCCCACTAGTCTCTGCTTCAATGTACCTTTAAAGAATAGTTTTCTCTCTGTTATAAATCAATTTCTTCTTCAATGAGTTTCCTCTTATTTTAGAATTTTCAGATTTCATCAAAGACTTCTTCATTCTAAATAACTGTTTGTACTTCAAATGTATGAAAAAAAACAAAAAAAAACCGCTAATTTTATTTCTTAATAATATGAGTATTGACAATAAATATGAAATGATATGAGGTCGAGCCGGCAACAGGGCCAGTGTAGCAGAATTTTTAGAATTCAGTGAAGCATAGAGCAACAAAAAATCTAGAGATGGCAAAATTATTTGAATTTAGGGCAGGCATTGAGGTATGTATGGGTGCATTGAGACATATATGATGAATCTTTTAATATATTTCATTTGTTAATGTTAATTCACACTCAAAATGGCAGTCATAAATAGCAGACAGAAATTATTTATGAGTAAAATTAAGGACCTTCAATCGATTTTGGACAAAACTAAGAGCTTTTAAGGACAAAAAACTGTTTCCAAAAATACCTAAGGACTTTTCAGTACTTTTAAGGACCGTACAATTGGAAAGAAATGTGTCGCTACTGCTTGAATTAAAATATTTTTACTTCCATATGGCACTGTGTTCAGCAAAGCATAAGATGGTATTTAATTTTTCTTTCAAATTTATTCACTTATTAATTAACAAACTAAGTGACTTAAAAAGCAATTAATGCAGGTTCATTTCAATTATTATTAACTGCTAGCTGGACCTGTGGAATTATATTAGCTGGATTCAATATAATCATTACACAGTTTTTCTTTTTTATAATAACTATTTTAGGAGGATGGTCAAGTAAGCAGCTGGTAAATATAATATCAGGTACTTGCATGTTATTTGTCATCAAAAACTTTATTTAATTCCAAACAATGATAAACTGCCAATAAACGTCTGCCTTCATGTTTTTAACTTTCGGCATATTCTTTTCAAGCAGATAGTCAGTTGGATATCAAATAATGGGGAAAAAACTGTTTTCAAAACAATAGCTAGACAGAATCCAGCATGGGGAAATCACCAAATCATTATTAAACCTCATATTACCTCAGCATAAACTGAATAACTAGTACACATACCCCTTTGAAAGTTATCCTACCCTCAATTTCAATAACTTCATTGTAGTTGATAATATATAAGCAGCATGTGTGCATGCATACCTGTTTTATTAATAAAATAATCAGTAATGTAAGCATGTGTGCATGCATATCTGTTTTATTAACAAAATAATCAGTTGTCCAGTACTGATAGCTCAGTACTTATGTCTGTATATATATATATATATATGTTGTAATTTACTCTGTAGGAGGAATCAGCTTGCAGTTGTGAGGAAGAAGTTGATACGAAACCAAGTTCAGCTAATTATCATCTTTATTTTAGGCCTACTAGAATAATTCCTCTTAGACAATATACTCTGTAATCACAACAATTAAGATAATTTCTTATTTACACAGGTCAATGGTGGTGAAACAAATTTAGACGGACAAGCAGAGCACAGAAAATAATTTAGCACTGGCGGAAGCTAGGAAAGGAACGATGGAGTTTTCTTGTGCCAAGAGTATTTATACTAAGCCTGATATAATTGTAGAGAAAAGCTATGATTGATTAATTTTAGGTTGTTACATAACATAGAAGGATCTCAAATTTGGGAGAACAGATGAATTTAGGGGAACAGCACCAAATCTAGAATCATTAATTTTGAGGTCGCCAATTATTTTTAAAGCAGCTATTGTATTTTCTTATACCTTACATATTTATATATATATATATATCATTTTCTCTGATCATTGAAATCAAATGTTCTTGTTTTATATTTAGTCATTCAAATTTTGATGTTTTATAAAGCAACATGAGTCTCTTCAGACGCCTTTGTCTATACTGATTTAAATTAGACTAAAGAAATTTGACCAGATGACAGAAATTTATTTACAAAATGATACCTAAATTAAAATTCTAATATGAATTATGCAGACTGGGAGAATGCATGGTAATTAATATTTTTAATTTTGTATATAATTTTACACAATTGCTGGAATCATTCAAATTACAAATATACATGATTTTTCTTAGAAAACTCTCTTAAAAAATTAAGAGTTATTCCTTTGCCCTTTTCTTTTTTAAATTTATTTCTGTATCTCAGAGATACATGTGTTTAAAAAGTGCTTGTGCCACCAACTGAATTTAAATTACATATATTACTGATTTTAGCCATTGTTTAATTTAAAACATAAAAAAATTCCCACTTGCATGGGTAACAAATCCTTGAGAAAATATAACTTTTGTAGAATATATAAGAATTTAAAAAAATAACATAGTTTACTTTGAAGACCCTTGAGATTTACTAAATGGCAAAACAGAAAACATCACAAATGGTGATTTCTTCCCACACACTAAGACCATCCTGGAAAAAAGAAATACAACAAATAAATCACATTTGATAATAAGTAAATAAGAAAAGTAATTAATATTCCTACTTCTAATTATTGCAATACCTTTCAGCTTCATTCTTATATTCATTAAGACTTTTGAGAAACTTGAGTTCTGCAACTGTAAGAAAGGAACATTCCGACGGGCACAATGATGCTTTTCGACTTCGACAACCACCAGCTGCTGCATATAATATTTACATATATTACTTATTATAAATACTTGTAGTACAAACATAAAAATACTTGTAATACTAAAAACAAAGATATAAACACTAGGATGGCTTAAAAATTGATGGCACTTATTATAATATATTATTTTGAATTTTTGTGTATGTAATTAACTACATGAATCAACAAATTTTTTTTTTTTTTTGCCATCATTCAATATAGAACTTAGAGATTATGCAAAGACATTATAAAAATTCATCCTACTAGCAGATTGTTATCAGTGAAGACAAAAACACTTTTCAGTTACTATGATATTTTTTGCTATTAAAAAAAAGAAGCTTAATGATCCTACTGTAACCTGCGATATTGAAGATATGAGGAACAATAGATAACTATGCAGCTGAAACTGGTTTTAGCATATTTGATCTGGGGATACAAATGTTAACAGAAACTGGAAAATCAATCCTTTGACCAAGAATAAGACATCTTTGTGCTCAGTGCTGTTGAAACCAAGCCTATGGCAGGTATCTGGCTGTTGTCGGTGAAGGCTGTATGTTTATAGGCCATAACAAGTCACCATCGTATCTAGATGTTATATCCTAATGCCCTAAAATAATATTTTAGGATCTGACAGGAGCAAATTTCTTTGAAGAAAATAAATTCTGTAGACTATTATTAGTTAATTCCAATGTAAGGTATATTTTACTTTTATAACAGTTATTTTAAGTTTATGCCTCTTTTCTGTCTCTCCTAGCTTCAGCTTACAACTTCCTACCAGAATGAGTTTTTAGGACCATGTGTTTCTGAGACTCCTTCTCCTTTATTTTCTTCTTTCTTGGTATTTCTTTCTCCTGATGAGGAGGGACCTTTAGCTGCCCTCGAAATCGATTGAGTGTTTCATTATACTTACGCTAAATACAAGGTTGTTTTTACGACTTTGATTAAAGCTTGTCCTGTTAAAATTTAGCATGCCATGCAGGAAAGCAAGACAAAAGCCAAAGAATGTTATTCAGCCCACGAGATTATAATTCAGCCTATGGTATTGTGATTTTAAAAACATACAGGATCGTGATTGACAGTAACGTGATTGTGATTCAAGCTTAGAGATAATATAAGAGAATGGCTTTTATTTTGGAAAATAATGGTAACATAGAAAGGAAATTTGCATACTAAAAATTTTTTTATTTCAAATAAGACTATTTTACTCATTCAAGTAAAGTACAAAAATCTGTTATACATACCTAAACTTTCAGTGCTTTTCCCTGATGGTAATCCATATGATTCTATTGATTTCTGATGAGTTAATTGTTTCCTTTTTTGACTTAAGTTACATAACCGAGTTTTTGCATCAGTCACAAATTTATGAACTCTAAAAGAGAACAGAAACAACCAGTTTAACAAATATCAAGTTCCAGATATATATATAATAGAAATATAAAAAACATTAAAAAACTATTACTTGTAACTCATAATAATAATTTACATATGTACAGGGTTCGTACACATTTCTGCACAAGGAAATTAAGTACTTTTAAGGACTTTTAAGGACCATTAATGAAAAAAATTAAGGACCTATGAGCGAATGGGAACTGAATAAATTCAATTAAAAATAGTATATCTATGCCTGAACATGAGTAGGATGCATTATTATTAAACATAACTTAATTAACATAATTATTAATATGTTTCAGAATAAAATTAATTTTATGAAATTTATCAAGTAGCATTAAATATTTTACACTCATAATGACTGGACATATTTGAAAGAAGATAAGTGACATTTCAGTTACCATTTACTAACAGCTTTTTTTTTTTATATCTCATTTTGTCACACACTTGCTCAGTCTAGAGGTTTAGTAAATAGTAAGTAGATTTTATGTCAAGCAGCATATGTTAAAAAATGAGCATTAAAATCAAAATCAGCATGATTCATAACAAAAGACTGGCTGTTGTCACCGCTCCTTCTTGCCTATAGAAAGACCTGTTGATCAGAACAAACCTGAAAGGCCTGATGTAGGCACAGTTAGCAAGTTTTGAAAGTTAGCTGACCTCTGTCTGATGCTGTTAGTGTCGTAGCTTCATGTAGAGTTCCAGGGGTTGTAACTCCCTTATATATTTTAAGGTTCTATTAAGGAACTAAAGCATCAGTGGTGATAAGTTGTTTTGCATTAAGTCTCACTAGATGCAAAAAATAAGTTTTCACATGAATTTTTATATTTTTGTGTTTTACCTTGTGACCATGGTAAAGGTTTAACAAGTTGAGCCTGGCATCGAATTTGCTGTCCTTTCCGTTCAGCCGGCAGCTATCAGTCGGCGGCAATATTGCGATCAAGCGGTGCAATATTGCCGACTTAAATTATTCATAAATTATACAAAAAGGAAGGAGATGCACATAAAGTCTGAAAGTACTGTTCGAAATGTTATGATGACAATTTAAAACTATTTGGATGCAAGATAGCCAAAAATGTTACCAAAATAGTTGTTTCAAATTGTAATATGTGTAAAGTTAAGCCATATTTTTGTTTAAAATGTTTGAATAAATTCCATTAAAACTACATTTGATCACATTTCATTGAGACTATACTTATTTTTTAACTTTAATACTATCGGTCACGCGGACCGATGCCAGCCAAACGAAAATTCCAGTGCCAGTTCTCAGGGACCGACGCCGGGCTCAGCATGTTAACGAACGGCAAAAACTTGCTTTAATATAGAGAGATAATTTTTAAGAGAATGCATTTAGTTATAATCAAATTAGGTATTAGATAACCTTAGTCATTATGGATTTACAGAGCCACTATTAAATTAAATTTATTTTTTAATAATATTTGTTAAAAACAATATTAATATCACAATCTCATAAAATTTCACAGTTTAAAACAGTATTAGGATAATTACACATTAAAAGCTACAAAACATAAAATTCAACAAAATATTTATGCGTCTTTTTAATTTGAAGGCCTGACACATTTTGGCTAATTTATATCGATTTCCTTCTCCTTAAGCATGTTTTCTAACAATTAGAAATTTGTCTCAATATGCAAAACAATGTTCTCATTAGTTTCTGCATGCTTTATCTCTTAACTGCCAACCTCTCCACAATGTTCTACCTATGAGGGTTTACTTGATCTGGTAAAAGTTAAACAGTACGTCCCCCCCCGACAGACGTGAAACAAATTATCACTATGTCTGAAAGTAATTAAAAATCAGATAATAAATTTCAATAAAGGTTTAAATAAGCTTCTTATTCAAAAAGAACTTGGAACATATAGGCCTGCTCTTATGCTAACAAAATCAATTACAGTTTGTGGTGATAATAACAAGTCAAATTCAAATTAAAAATATGGACTAGTGGTTAAAGACTACACAATTTAATTTCAATTTAATCTGATTCAGTAACTCTTTTGTCATAATAAACTCAAATGTCAGCAGCACTAATGAAAAGACTAATAATAACAAATTATCAGAGCTGGCAGAACTAATGCAGGGAGCAAGTGGAGGTCAGAAACACACTCGTCTTACACTAAAAAAACCTCAGTTTAAAAACTGTCTGATTTGCATTCTGGTGAGGAAATAGAAATGAGAAATTATAATAAAGGCTGAAACTGTAAATAACTGGTTAATTTACATAATAATAACTGTACATATCTTTGAAGAATAATTTTCTTTTTCTTTACATATTTAGCTTCTTTTTTCAACACGTTTCCTTTTCACTTTAAATTTTTGGGATTTAATTAAAGACTTCTGTTATTCTAAAAGGCTAAATGAATTTAGAATGTATGGATAAAGCTGCTAATTTTATTTCTTTAGTAATATGGACATTCAGAAGAAATATGAAATACATATGGTAAAGTCTGGTCACAGAGCTGGTGTGGCATAATTTTTAGAATTTAGGGACATACTGAGCAACAAAATCTAGAAATAGCAAAACTTTTAGAGTTTAGAGCAGGCACTGGAAGCAGAATTTCCACAGAGACTGTGTCAGGTGGCAAAATGCCTAGTGCCAGCTCTGTGTATGATGCATTAAGACATATTAGATGAATCTTTTGAATTGTCAGTTTCCAATTTCTTTATTAATAAAAATTTCCTTTCTATAATGGCTGTCCATATGATAAGATTAGAAGTACTTTTGATATTTTCCATGCTTGTGTCTAGTGAAAAGTAGAGAAAATAAAGGGAAGATAAAAATGTTAATAAAGCGATTCTAGAATCAGAAGTAAAACATTCAACTATTATGTTTTCATTGTTCTTCCAGTTGTTCTCCAATATGTAGGAAACAGCGTGTTACTACCATGGAGACATTTTTCATTTTATCACATTTTTCTGGAATCTTTTAGAATTGTGGGTCTATAAATTTGCCTTAAAATCTTTCTAAACTTTACAAGTTTCAATGTCTAAAATCCTAAAGAAAAATTACAACCCCATCAATTCTGTAACAGCAAAAACCCAGAAATGTTTTTTAAAAAATCGGAGGAAAAAAGAGCGAAATTAATTTTATAGAGAAAATTGATGCATTTCTGAGAATTCTGATCATTCTGAGAAATGGGAAAAATTCTTACCATGAAAAAATTAAAAAGACATTTTTAATTAATTACACAGCTATTTTGCTCTTGCTAAAAACTGTTTTGTAAACTGTGCTTTATAGCATTATTCCTTGCTTATTTTTCAGATTCGAAAACTTGTATGAAATGTGGCTAAAATGGAACTTTATAATATGATAGTGGAAAATAAAAATGCTTTATTTTAATGTTATTTCTTAAATATAATCCCAATATACAGTGGATAGACAAAAATATGGAAACACCTTGTGAAATGCATGTTTGAAAAGAAAGATTGATTTTAATGAAATATGTAGGTGGTGCTGGCGTTTTTGACTACTGACGCCACCTATACAACTTACAACTTCGTAAATGTGCTAAACAGTTCAGTTGTTGTCGGAGTACTGTTATGTGAGGTTGTCATTGCATTATGTCAGAGTTAACAGACTTCGAACGTGGGCAAATTGTTGGAGCACGTATTGTAGGTGCTTCCGTAAGCAAGGTAGCCGAGGTGTTTAGTGTTTCAAGAGGTACTGTATCGAAGATTTATTCCGCATATTTGAAAAGCGGAAAAACATCATCTGCTAAATCACAGCGCGGACGAAAGTGTGTCCTGAGTGATCGTGACAGACGATCATTAAGGGCAATTGTGACGAAAAATAAGAAGACCACAGCTGCAAAAGTTACTGCTGAAATGAATGTTGTGTTACCGAACCCTGTGAGTACCAAAACAATTAGAAGGGAGCTTCATAACAGGGAATTGCTGGCCGTGCTGCAATTGAGAAGCCACTCATCAGTGATGCTAATGTCCGTAACAGGAAAAGGCGGTGTTTATGTCATAAAGCCTGGACTATAGAGCAGTGGAAGCGAAGTAATATGGTCTGACGATTCTTCTTTCACATTGTTTCCCACTTCTGGCCGAGTTTATGTCTGGAGAACGCCATCTCAAGCCTATAATACAGACTGCTTGTTGCCAAGAGTGAAACATGGCGGGGGTTCTGTTATGGTTTGGGCAGCCATATCGTGATTCTCTGCTAGCCCCATGATAACTGTGTCAGGGCACATGACTGCCAAGACTTATGTGAACATTTTGGCCGATCAAGTTCATCCCATGGTACAAACTTTGTTCCCCAATGGTGATGGTGTCTTCCAAGAGGACAAAGCCCCTGTTCACACAGCTCACATTATCCAGGACTGGTTTTCTGAGCACGAGGATAAGTTGTCCCATCTCCCCTGGCCACCACAGTCACCAGGCCTGAATATTATCGAACCTTTGTGGTCTACATTGGAACGGAAAGTTCGTTCTCGTTATCCACCGCCAACATCGTTATCTGAACTTGCCACCGTTTTGCAGGAAGAATGGTATAATATTCCCTTGGCAAACATACAGGAACTGCATTTATCCATTCCGAGAAGACTGCAAGCTGTTTTGGATGCCAACGAGTTTCCTACACCATATTAAGCAAAGAAACATGTTTTTTTTAAAGGTGTTTCCATATTTTTGTCCAACCCCTGTATTACCATTATTTTAATGAAATTTATCAATGTTAGAATGTTCTAAAAAAATTGTCAAAAAATTCCCAGATCTCGGAATTAAAAATTTTCTACAGAAACCAATCTTAAAATCGCCAAAATGTTGATAATCACTAAATTTAGAACCGTTTAATAAAAGAATTCACATCCCCAAAAGCGGAAAGTTGTTTGAGAGCTCTTCATTACAAAAAATGAAATAATTTTGAAATGCTTATGTTTCACTTCTTGCTCAGAAACTCGAGTAACCCACCATTATTTATATTGCAAATAAGGACAAATTAGAACTCATGAACCCATT